TTTAATGAAAACTTCTATATTCTTCATTTAAGGATATTAAAAAAGCTGATGAACAGACAGCTCCAGTGACACACTCTACTGAAAGACATACCAACCCTGCTTCTCTGTGTGCTGTGAACAGCATCCATTTGGACAGTACAGAAAAGCCTGCGGACTCCATTCCGCATAATGAGGTAATGGCTTACCTGGAAACATCCCACGTGCTCCCAAACTTTTATCTAATCTTTATAAAAGTAGAATTAACTTACCTCTAACACGGTAGCACTAAGGTCACAAAACATGCCTTTTTTCCCCCAAAACTTCCCCTAGCATTCTTGTGACTGCTTCAGAAGGAGGCTAATCTAAAAACCTACACTGATATCCAGAGTCCTTGGAGGCAGAAATTCTCATGAAAATATTGCCTTCCTCTTTCTTTGAAGGCAGGCCATGGGTCAGAAGTGTCTGGGGAGTGAGGTACAGAAGCCACTGTGATGCTCAAGATTATTGGGGTCACACGCGGACGCACTCAGTGGATGTGGGTCCGCCCCAACAGGGTTAGTGCAGGCCTCCTGTCCCAGGGCAGAGCGGAGTGGCATTGTTCACCTGGGGTGACGCATGATCCCACATCTGTCCCTCCCCACTCCCAAGCCCAGGCTCCTCCTGAGGTCACCCTGCTTTCACCTCCTGTGGAGTGGACCCTTGGGCACCTCTCTTCGCCTCCACCTGACCTCGTTCTCACTTCTCTGTCCTTGTGTAGCCACCTTCCTGTTGACACAGCCAGCACCCCGACTCTGCTCCGCAGCAGCCCCTCATAAACACCGTTGCTTCTCCATCTCACCTGTCCCCTGCTCCCTCCATGCACCCCGTCCTGGAGCTCCACGCTTCGTTGTGTTCGACTGGGCCCTGTGCACTGCTTTACATTTATAACCTCAGACTCCTCAAAACCCCTCACCCGCACCTCTGAACACTGGCTGCAGCTTCCGTGTTGCCTCTCATCTTCCCTAAGCCCAATATCATCTCCCAAAGACGAGAAGCAGAAACTTGGCAAGGTTAAGAACACACTTAACGATCACAGCGCTCTACCTGTAAGGGGAGGCTCAAAGCAAGCTTCTAACCAAGACATTAGAAAACACTTCTTGTAAATAAATCAAAAACTGAAAAACTTTCAGGCTTCAAAAATCCTAGTCAAACTTTTACCTTCTGCTCTTTCTCTGCTTACCCAGAGAAGTTCTGACCCAGGCTTCTTCTTATGCTAGGGTATAAGATTGAAACCAGTTTAATAAAAGTGGAGAACTATAGGCCTACCTATCATTTTTTTTCTGTGATTCTCAGCTATTAAGAACATGGGTGCTAAATTTGCACTTTCTTAATGATACCAGGTGAACTGCCAAAAAATGATTCTGCACAAATTGTCACTTTGGGGTAAGAGTCCTTCATGTTTTGTCACCACTAGTAATACAGGCAGAGAAACTTTTTTAAGAAAATTACAACTTCTACCCTGCTATCTATTATATTTGCTATGTAACATTATACTTTTGTTTGCAATTCACTAGTTTTTCTAGGTTCCATTATGCTCTGTAAGTGGAATTTCAAACCAATATGTTTTATTTACAGACAAGTCTTCCTGAAGTGTCTCTATTAAAAGTTTTTAAATTAAACAAGTCTGAATGGCCTTTTGTGGTTCTGGGGACACTGGCTTCTGTTCTAAATGGAACTGTCCATCCAGTATTTTCTATCATCTTTGCAAAAATCATAACCGTAAGTAGAACCCATTTGCTAATACTCTTAACAATTACAGGGTAGTCTGAGGAAAATGTCTTGTTACCCACTGGTCAGCAGAAGGGACACTGGGATGCTCAATAGGTCACTTCTCAGATGGGGACCATAGTGGAAAGGCCAGTCAATGTCCCTGGGAGATGGACCACAGCCATCATGTTATGTCTGGCTGGGTTTTGTCTGCTGGGAAAACTATAAAATAATTACTTTGTTTTCTGAGTTTGACTCCAGTGTTAGGTCAGCATTCTAAAACAATAAAAGAGAAAAATAGAACTTACTTTACTTTCAACTAGTTGAACAGTGGTGACTTTTTATTATGAGTCAGCTCAGGGAAAGGAAAGAAGAGTTTGAGCCACAGACCCAGACAAGTGGGTCGATTCAAGGATCTGTCTACATCTTAGTTAAATCTTCCATGTCTCTGCTTTGCACTGCCACCTCTCAGAAACATAAACAACAATACACTTATAATTACTAACATCAGGATGAACTCTAGGGTGCATTGTAAGTAGCATTCTAAAGAGATGAACCTTTATCAATATGAGTCATGAAAATTTATTAGAAATAATTCAAGCTATTACTTTAATTAAAAATGTACTGTGATAATTGCAGATAGACTTATATAACAAATGTGGGAAGTCCAAATTATTCTTCTGTGTACTAAATGCAAGTATTCTCCAGAAATGTATAGTTATTTCATATTTTAATTCATTTAGCAAATCCCAGTGTATGTATTTTAATTTTTTTCTTTCTTCTTTATTTTCCTCCAAATCACTAATGAAAAAAAATCTATTCCTCTTCAGATGTTTGAAGATGATAACAAACCCACGTTAAAGCATGATGCAGAAATGTATTCTCTAATGTTTGTCATTTTGGGTATTATTTGCTTTATCAGTTACTTCATGCAGGTAAACCTTTAATAAATTATCCCTGTGGAAGATTGCTTTGTTGATGCCCTCCTATTTATGCTAAATATAAGAAGTAGGGCTGGGGAGATAGCTCAGCGGTCTAAGAACCTGCCCTGCAAGCACAAGGACCCGGGTTTGACCCCTGTTACCACATGCCATGCCAGCCCCGTGCTGAGCCAGCCACCAAAACCAGGCATGAGGAGCTTGCCAGTTAGCTCAGTTGTTTAAGCACTTGCTCATGCAAATGCAGTCAGGCACAGGATACTACGGTTTGAACCCCACCTCCACCTGCCTTAGCATGGTGGCGTACACCTGTAATCCTAGGGCTGGGGAGGTTAAGACAGGAGGATCACTACCAATCTGAATTGCATAGCTAGACCATGACTATATAACAAAGAAATAGTAAAGAGATTTAATACTAAATGTAGGGGCTGGTTAGATGGCTCAGTGGTCTAAAACACCTACTTAGAACAAGCTTAGCTAAAGCACAGGGACCGCGGTTCAATCCCCCAGCACCACATGCCAACCAGCCCCTCCCCCTGGTGGGCTGAGCTGGCCACACACACACACAGACACAGACACACACACACATTAAAAAAAAAAAAAAAGACTAAGTGTAGATTGTCTTTTTTCTCTAGGGCTTGTTTTATGGCAAAGCAGGAGAAATTTTAACCATGAGATTAAGACACTTGGCATTCAGAGCCATGTTGTATCAGGTCAGTGTGTTTAGTTGAGTTTTTCTTACTTTACTTGAAATTTGTCAAATATGTCCATTTTCAGTTGTTTCTGACATATTTCTTGAGATAGTCTTTTCTTTGGATTATTGAGAAGCGTTATTTTGTCCTTAGCATCAAAAAATAATAGCAAAATTCTTTCATTTTCATAATAAAATATCAGGTTAAAGACTGTGGTGAGTAAAAATGAAATTATTTGTGAACAGGCACTTAGGGTCCCCTCCTGTTAAGATGTGCTCAACTTCACCAATCTCTCTTTCAATGCATAATGTAATGCTGAAGACCAAATTAAAACTGAAAAGGGGGAGGTAGGAGCTACAATATCTTAGGAACATATTTGAAAGGAAGTTGTTAATAATTTCTCCATTTCTCATCCATGGGCCAGTTTCATTTTTCACACCACACTTCCTAGAGCATTTTGCACAGATGGAAACTGTAGCTATTACTATGTTTCACATTTGTTGACAACTTTTATTTTTTATCTTCATGAATTTTTGTCTTTCCTTGTTCAAGGACATTTATGTTTCTAGAAGTTTTTTAAATGCTTTTTGAATGTCTGGATGTTTTTATACAGAAAAATACGAATAAGTGTTTTTCACTCATTAAAGCATCACCTTAAACTTCTTTTTTCACAAAATGCTTTTAGCAGAAGAATCTCAAGGCCCTGGGCCAGTTTAGCTGGTGAAACCATTGTCAGTCTACCATTTTGGACATTAATCTTTTCTCTAACATTAGCCATATGTACATCATCATAACAACATTCTTGGATAACTTTTGCTCAAAGCAAGGGTCTAATCTATAAGCCATGAGCTCTGTCCTTCAAAGGGCATCCATATACTCGCAAGACACAGAAACCTTATGCTATTAATATTACTGATTTCCCCACAGTTCAACTTTTATTTTCCTTTGTCTTCCTTTAATATTCTTTTAATATTCTTTGCTTTTTATTTTTTAATTAATTTTATTGAGAAAAAAATTGCAACGAGACAGTTTCAAAACAGGTTGGTAGGAGAGTTACAATAATGAATACATTGATTGTCTTTGTAGTAGTCATTCATAGCAGAAGATGCAGACATTATATCCTGTCCAAACACTATTAGTTCAAATCTTTCTTCTTATTGAATTAAGAGAAAGTAGCTATATATCTATCCTAACTATTTTGTATACACAGATATAAAATTGTCCTTCATTTATATCTCCATTTTTTTGTTTAGTTTTGTCATAGATGGGTATTCCCTTGCCATCCAAATGTTGTAGGTGCATGAATTCAGCAAAATATTTCAATATAGTCCAGTAGTCCACAATAGCAGGACTGGCAATGTCTGAATCTCTTGACTTGAGCCTTCCACAGCTCTGAATATTAACATGGCTTCACTTTTCATACCTAGTTTCTATACTTTTCTGCTGGATGGTTAAGACCAAGATAAAACAAGACCTATATATCAAGAAATGTAACTTTTGTATCTGACATGTCAGTCAAGTCTCCTCAGGACTTATCCCGAAACCCTGTACCTCACTTTGTAGATCCTTTGTCAGTGTCAGCTGTGTGGATGAGTTATGGCCATTGCTTGACCAGTTTGCTCTCTGTGAAAGCCTGAGAGAATGTTTTCTCTCCATGTTACTCTCTTTAGGCACACTCTACATCATCGATCACTTTCCTCTGTGGCCCCATAATCTCCTTAATCAGAAAACTTGGGACAAAACTTAGTTAAATGATGTTACAGTAAAGGTTCTCCTATGTCCTGAGTCCTCACTGACCTTGAAACGCTAGGGCCAAAATGATGGCTGTCCTTGCAGGCCTTCTTTTTCTCTAATTTTTGGTCTGCAAACTTAGGTTGTTAACCCTCCAGAAAAAAAGATTATTATAACCATGCAACATATGCAGGTGGGTTTAACCTTACTGTCTGTCTTTGCTTTTTAAAAATTAGGGTAAAAGTATGGTATAGTTGGCCTTTTCTTTTTAAGTGTCTTTATAAATGTGTACATGGGAAGGAAAGTTCCTATTGTATGGTCTTACTTAACTTCATTACCATTCTTTGTCCTAAAGTAAGACTTTGTAAGGCGTGACTTTTAAAGCTTTATGCAGCCACTCTGAAATATCAGTTGAGGGAGACATTTATAGAATTGGGTGTGGTCTTCCTATATGTATAAGACCTGTATTTTGTGTGATCATGTAGATACTTCCAGTAGAAATGAATATTCTAAGCATTACTGACCTCCTCAATTGTAAATGATTTGTTGTTCATTGTGTTTCAAGCTGTTTATATTTGTTAAGTATCTTATCTATAGATATAGATATAGATATAGATATAGATATAGATACAGATACAGATACAGATATAGATACAGATAGATAGATTTTTTTCTTTTACTGGCGGTACTACAGATTGAACTCAGGACCCTGCGCTTGCCAGGCAGGCACTTATTCTACTGAGCTATCTCCCCAGCCTTACGTATCAATATTGACCTATAGGGACCGGGGAGATAGCTCAGTAGAATAAGCACTTGCTTGGCAAGCACAAGGGCTTGTGTTCAATCCTCGGTTCCGGGAAAAAAAAAAAAAAAATCGACCAATGACATGATGGGGATTTTGAATATATCTAAAATTTATCTGGAACCATTTTCTTCTAATTAGTTTGGCTAGAACCTCTCTGAGGGTGTCTAAATCACTGAATGGCAGCACTGTGGTGACCACTAAGGAGGCTAAAAAAACACTTAAGGTATTTCCAAAAGGATTTCAGGTAACAAATCCTGAAGCAAGAGTAGGTAACAGAACCCAGTCATGATGCTTCAGACCAGTAGGAGGCAGAACAAGATCATTGCCTAAGGACGCTGGTCTTGGCTGGTAACGTTCCACTCCTGAGCTCAGTGCCTCTCCACCAGCTGTGCAGCCTTGAGCAAGTCGTCTCATCTCCCAGCACACCAGCTTCTTATAGTAAATGTAGATTCCCAGCAGCTCTCTGAAAGGGCTATTGAAGTGATGAAATGAGAAAATGCTGGCCAAGCACATATTAAACCGTGTTGTTTTGGCCAACCAAATAGCTCAGTGGAGTAAAGCTCCTGCAAGCAGGCACAGGGGCCGGAGGCTCAATCCCTGGGCCTGCTGTGCCAGCCCTGCACCCGGGGCGCACTGAGACAGTGATTGAGACTGGGTGTAGTGGCATGCGCCTGTAATCCCAGCTCTTGGGAGGCTGTAAACAGGAGAATCACTGCAAGTCTGATCTAGTAGTGAGCGCTCTATAGACCCTTTCCTAAAAAAATACAGAATAAATAAATAAATACATAAACTGTGTTGTTTGGCACAGCATATGGTACCAGGGATCAAACCTGGGTTCTTGCACTTGCCAGTTAGGCGCCTAGAAAGCCGAGCTATCTCCCCAGCCCGCATGTGATTGTATTTACTACTGACAGGTGAAAGAATAGATCCACTAGTCTCAAAAAGCCTGATAGCCTTCCTCACAATTATTTTACCATCAGAAAGATGGAAAGCAAGTCAGTGGTGACTCTACAGTAGCTGAGTTCCAGAAAGTCTGCTACATATTTTGGCTCATAGTGCTGAAAAGCAGCTTCTACAGTGCATAGCTGCTGACTCACTGGAAAGCAGTCTTGGACATCGTGGTGATGGGATGTGAGAGGAGTCACATATTCATGTGCTGGGCATTGTGCAGTAGAGCAAGCTAGTGTAATCAGGAATTTCATAGGCAATATTAAATTTTTCCTCTATATCTATACTTTATATTGTGTCAAAAAATCCTTTCTATATTCCATGTGATATTGAAATCTAGAAACAGTATATATTAATTTGGGGGAAGCGTTTATATAATGAAAGGAGGTAACAACAAGTTCAAGAACTCTAACAGTATTGCTGATGTGAGTTCGCAGTGTGGTAGGGTCATAGCTGGGTTGGTGTCTTTGAAGCAGCTGCTGTGTAGTGCAGATTGAGAGCCCTCTAAGACACCCTCTGAGCACCTCAGACCATAAATTCAAGGTGGCACTTTCCCAATACAGCAGCTCACAGAGCAGCGCCGTCACACTGCACCCACCATGGCCACAGCCGTGTTCCTCTGTGGGGGTTTGCTCCTAACACAACTGTGATTAATGCTCTTACTTCAATCTGTTGTTCTTGTTTCTTTAGTTTATAGCAATGTGCAACCTGGGCATTGAAACCTTGGCTTAGGGGCAGTAAGACCTCTAGTCATTACACCTCTATCATTAGACAACTTAGGTAAAATCTGAAAAAAGTATAAATCATATTGTGCAATGTTTACTATTTAAGTAGAATTTGCCAGGCTAGGGATAGAGCTCAGTGGCATAAGTGCCTTTCTGGCAAGTGAAAGGTCCTGAGTTTGATCCCTGTACCAAAAATAGATAGAAAGATAGATAGATAGATAGATAGATAGATAGATAGATAGATAGATAGAATCTTCCTTCAACAAAGTATTTGTGGAGTAAAGTTACCAAATATTGACTGGTTCTAAATCTGTTTCAGGGTCTGGGGAAATGGCTCAGTGGAATAAGTGCTTCCCTGGCAAGCGCAAGGGTCTCAGTTCAATCCCTGGTTCCACAAAAAAACAAAAAAAATCATTGTTTCCAGCATTTGAGCTTTTTTATTCTGAGACAGGATATGGCTATGTAGTTAGGACTGGCTTTAAACAGCCTCAAACTCAAAGCCATCCTCCTGCCTCAGGGTCCCGAGCTGCGTCACTACACCCAGCAACACTGACTCTCTAACGTGACAGGGAATCCAAGCTATGGGGCTTAAGTTCTTCAGTTTATTCCAAAATACAGATGTTTATGAAATAAGAAGAGAAACTCAATTGATCCACAGTACTTACAAGACTTAAGTACTGGTGAGTGGGAAGGCAAATAAATTCCTTCTAGCTACAATAGATCACAAATCAAAGAATGCTTTCTGATAATGATATGCAAATTCTCTTTTCTTAGGATATTGCCTGGTTTGATGATAAAGAAAACAGCATAGGATCCTTAACAACAACATTAGCCACAGATATAGCGCAAATTCAAGGGGTATGTATATTGTTTCTGTTTATAAATAGTGGCACAAGTATGTTTATCTGCACACATATGTCTGCAACCATATGTAAGCTATGCTGAGATTATTCCCATCATTAGGAAAACCAGGCAAGACTAGGCTGGGAGGGACCTCTTAGACTTTGGCATTTTGAACTCAAAATGAAGCAGCTTTAGCATGTATATTAAGATAACTCGATAACTAAAAAATATAGAAAAGTTAGTTACAAAGAAAGCTCAGAATGAACAACAAAAAAAAAAGTACAATGAAAGAAAAGCATGTACTTCAGGGGCTGGGGAAATAGCTCAACGATCTAAGCACCTGCTTGCCAAGTGCAAGGACCCAAGTTCGATTCCTGGTACCACATGCCGTGCCACCCCCAGAACTTCAAGCAAGCCATGCCAGCCCCTGAAACTGGGCATGGTGGTGTACACCTGTAATCCCAGTGCTGGGGAGTCTGAGATAGGAGGATCACTATTAGTCAAGCTGTGTAGTGAGACCTTGTTCCAAATAAATAAATAAATAAATAAATAAATAAATGATTTTTTAAAAAATTTCAGAAAAGAATGTGCTTAAAAAAATTTAAGGTTTTATTTTGGTGCTTTCTATTCCATTCCAGTTGTTTATTGTACTGTATTTGTACCAAAATCACACTTCTGTTGCTGTATCTTTGTAGCAAGCTTTGAAATAAGAAATGGAAATACTTAACTTCCTTCTTTTTTTCAAGATTTGCTAGGCTATTCTATATGCATTTCAGGATGGAGTTTTATATTTCTGCAAATTTGTTGGCATTTTGGTAGAGATTGCATTCAATGTTTAGATTTTGTAGCATACTATTAGCATCTTAAAA